TGTTTTCTTGATATTGCAGGTTGCTGCAGTACCTGAGGATGTGGGAACAGCTGGTGCAATTAGGGCCATGGCACACCACCTGACTGCGGAGGACATTTTGGTTGGCATTTGCTATCCTTCATAATAGTTGGCTTATGTGATAAAATTTATGCTTTAAAGCATACTTCACGTTCCTGCAGGTTGTAAGTGGTGATCTTGTTTCTGATGTGCCTCCTGGTGCAGTTGTCGCTTCGACATCATGGTGCAGCGGTGACTGCAGTGCTTTGCTCTGCTCCTGTGAGTGGAGCTTTGGAATCAGGATCTGGTGGTGGAAAGGATAAAATCAAGAAACCTGGACGATGTGACATCATTGGCCTAGACACTACTAAACAATTTTCATTAAGGGTAAGTGTGATGTCTGATGTGTGTGCAGTCTGGACTGCATTATATTCCCTTCTTTTTTCCCTTGTTTTTGTAAGTATCATCAAATTTTGACTGTCCTATTCCACTTTTCACCGACGTTGCATTCCTGGGTCAGTTCTTCGCGAAACCCTAATTTCTCTTTCAGCAATTCAATTGAATCGATCAATCCTATATACAGAAACAAGGGATAGCTGTCGCGGTTCTTGGTCGGCTTAACATGAACGAGTTGCCCTTGGGGGGATCTAAACGTGTCGATTGTTTCGCAAATTGGAGCAGGTTGGCGAAGGCACTTACGGGTCAGTTCTCTCATTGTTTCGTTGTTTTCTACCGTCCTACAATGTCTACGTACGTATGATTGTTTGAGTCGACCTGATATGACCCTGCTTGTTTTTTCTATTTGCAGTCAAGTTTACAGGGTCAAAGAAAAGAAAACGGGTGAAATTGTTGCTTTGAAGAGACTACGAATGGACAAAGAGAGAGAAGGGGTATGTTTATGTTTTCATCATTTTTCCTCCTTTTCAAATTATCTAAGGTCTTTTCTAATAATTTATTTATCTGTTGAATTTCTCCCCTGCAGTTTACAATCACTGCAATATGTGAAATCAAAATTCTAAAGAAGCTAAATCACAAGAATGTAATTGAGCTTAAAGAAATTGTGATTTCTCATGGTAATATTGTCAAATGCTATATATCCATGCAGCCATTTCACAAGGTATGGAGTTGAAGATCAAACAGGCTTTAAGTCATCGAGTGTGGGATATATACGAGAAATTCTAGTATATCACGGGTATACCAGCTAACATGGTATCCCAAACTAATCAAACAACAACACCTCATTAAATTTGCCCACCTCATCGTTTCATTAAATTCATTAAAAACATTTTAGCACACATTAACGATACAATTTAACAGAGTCTCACCTTACCCACTTTCTCACCAGTTAGTTCACCTCCCCATGATGTATTCTCTTCTCTAATCCTCCCCAAATCTTCCCCTTCCTCCTTCACCCAGTACTTTGTCTTTGACAACGATGGCAATCATAGCCCACCTCTCGAAGAAGCTTGCCTCCACTAGATCCCATATTCCCTTTTAACCCTCAATTTTCAAAAACTGTTTCGCATTGATGGGTTCTGCGATTTGGGAACAGTAGATGCAAGGGGATTTTGGAATTACTGATGAACTAATGGATGATTAAAGTAACAAACAGAACATGTAATTCCTTACAAGGTTCTGGAAATTTGGAATGGAGAAAGGAACGTGCAAATTATTATATAAGGGAATTAAAAGAACTAAAAATGTCACTTTTCCAAAAAAAAATTACCCTGTTCAAAGGGCAAACAAAAAAGAAAAAAAGCATTAGCGAGGAAACGAAAATGGGTTCATCATCGACATCCCTCTCCTTGCATTTCAACATTTCCTCTCATCTTAAAATAAAAAAAAAAAATCCAACATTTTTAGGCTTACATTCCACTACCAAAAGCCAAAAATTTTCAACTGAAGGTCAGAATGAACGGAGGTGGAGAGATAAAAGAAAATATTTAGATATGAATTCAGGAGAAAAAGCAACTTTCAGGAACCACAATGAATCATCCTGTAGAAATTATGAGAGGAAGATTTGAGAAGGATTAGAGTACTAACTAAAAAGGAAGATGTGATACCCCAAAATTTTTAGAATAAATAAGTGTGAGTTAGGGACTAACTTGTGAGGAAATATTATTAGTGAACCTAATGGCAATTTGTGTTAAAGTTGAGGGACTTAAAGAGGGAAAATAATTGGATAAGGATGGCTTCTCTTCTTTTTCTTTTTCCTTCTTTCTTTCTTCTTCTTCCCGGCGTGCTTCTGCTCTTCCCGACCCTGCTGCAGCCGAAACAAAAGAAAAAGGGAGCCCAGCCATGCCTTTGAGAAACCGGTGAGATAAGCTTGGTTTTGGCCTTCTTTTCTTGTTCTAGAACAAGATTGGAACCCAGAAATTCTCCCCCCCTGCTGGAAAATCCGGATCTGCTTTGCTCTGTCCGCCGGCTGCTCTTGTTGTGGGTGCAAATTCTGGGCATTTTTAGGTAAGAAACAGCCATGAATCTCCCTTCTCTAGCTTTGATTGCCTTGGGTTTACCTTAATTGCTCTTATTTCCTCCAATTTCCGGTAGATTTTTCTTGAATTTCTCCTGCACTTGCAGCCGGCTTCTTCTCCCTGCAGCTCCGGTTCCTTGCTTGCAAATTCTGGTAAGTGGCAGCCCCATCTAAGTCCTAATTTACCCCTTTAATTGTTGAATTTTGTCCATGGATTGGCTACCCTTGTGATGTCCGAATTTTACAGAAAATAGGGAGGAATTCCGGTAGCCTTTGAACATGTTTTAAGCTTGGTTTAAGTGTAAATTAGCTTGATTTAGATTGTTGTGATTTTTGGAGAGAAAATCCCGTGAATTAGCTAGTGTTTTGGCCAATTTTGGAAGTGTAGTTAATGTCCACACGAGTACTGTTCACGGATACTGTTCACGCACTAATGGTTAACAATTAACGGGGATTTAAATGTTTAGTTTGTGAGATAAGAACAAATTTGGAGAGGTCTAGTCATGTGGAGATTGATAGGAATAACATCGTGATTAGGGGGCTAGTCATGATGATTTCAGTTTGAATTTGTGGTAGTGTGATATTAATTCTCGGGTGTTTTGATTAAGTTCCTGATCGTTCTGTCAGTTTAGCGCTGAGATCGAGTCTTCGGTTTTATGCGAGTGAGGTAAGTAAATTTATGGTAATGCCGTATAGTTTTTAAAAGCATGTTTTGATTTGTTTTTGAAGTGGTGGGAAAACTAAACCCGTTTTACATAAGTATGACTGATTTGAAGTGAAATTTTTATGCTTTTCATTAAATTGAGCATGCTTGCTTGAGATTTAATTGATTGTCCTGATGATCTGAAAGTGATTGATGAATTATGATTTTTTTGTTAACCTCTGCCTGTTTTGTCTTCGATATGGTCATGTTATTCGTGTGCCCACTAGTGGGAGATTTATAAACGCTAGCACATGTCGACATGTTACTGATAGAACCGGTTCGTTTCTATTATTCTGCTAGTGGGATTATACATTAGTAAATCGTGTGCCTGTCAGTGGGAGGTTTATAACACTGGCCGTGACCTATAGAGGAGACGTCTATTTCGTTCCGTATTCGTAACTGTTTTCGTGATTATACTAGTTGGCATGCTATAAGTTTAATAAGGGCACTCCATATTTTACTTACTGAGTTTATCTCATAGTTTTTCTTTATCCACCATTTCAGAAAACGAAACCGAGGATGAGGAAACCACGGGAAGTGACGAGTTAGAAAGCTAGCCATTTCGAGATTGATATAGATTTTAGAAATAGATCATGATCTTGTAAACTGGATTTTAATTGGAGATTTTATAAATTTATTGAATGGATTGTTAGTTACAAGAGATTTGATCTTCAGATTTTGGTGGTATCATATTGTGATATGATAAGTTTTGAGTCTTGTGCATTTGTGGGACTCTCTCACGAGTGCATGACGTCTGTCACATCCCTGGATTTGGGATCTGGGGCGTAACAAAAGACGAGAGAAAGGCCCTAGAAATTCTCCGTTAAACTGTGCTGAGCTGTTTTTATGTTAAAGATGAGTTGGCCTACTTTAATGAGGTGTGAATGGTTTGATTGGTTTGAAATACCATGTCAGCTGGTATACCTCTGATACACTAGAATTTCTCGGGCTATACTTAAGTACGTGTCAGTTATGCAGAATACTATTTTTTTTTTATGTACATTAAAAGTTAGTGGTATCAATAAATTTTATTTTATTTTATATTGTATAATAAAAAATG